TAGCTGTTGGTAAACAAATACATGCATCTACAGTAGTGGCCAAAATTGTGGAAACCTTTTGGGAAAAGTGTATTTTTGAGGTTTGATGGCTAATAACACCACTTTTTTTCTGGAGTAGTACCATAAAATTATACATCAATGGAAAGATAATTTAATCAAGAATGTAATGCCACAAAGTTTGTTCAATTATCTGTACTGTATTCTATGAAAAGTTATAGCCAAATAACCAGAAAAAGGAAGCACAACTTGCTTAGGTTGATATCAGGTAGCTTTCCTTCCTCTGATTGTAGCCAATGAGCATGAGTGTTTAGAGAGCCAATCAGGTGTCATCTTGTTTTGGCCATGAGCTGATCAGATCACAGCAGGATTCAGTTATTGAAGTCATGTATTGAAGCTGAGAGGAGGACATTTGTCAGTGTGTTATGTGATGGCTATCAAATTGGTTGGGGTTTTTTTGTGTTCTTTCATTTAGTGAGCTTGTAAAACGTAATAAAATTAAAGTCATGGTGCAAAGAGTTGACTGGTCGCCCAGAAAGCGATGTAAAATAGTATTATTAAGTGAACAAGGCTGCAGTTATAAAGGAATTAGAAGAAAAATTGGAAACTTAATCAAAGGTGGCATTTCTACTGTACACTTTTCCCAAAAGGTTTCCACAATTTTGGCCACTACTGTATATGCGCTTAGATCAGGAGTGTCAAACTCGCGACGTGACGTATTGCGACGTATCGTGACTTTTTTCCCCATTGCTGGCAATGGGGTGGACGCGGTTTCTCCATGATGCATCCGGCCTGCGGGCCGGCAGTTTGACACCCCTGGCTTAGATATTCAAGGTTATATTGATAGAGCTGAACAGGTCTACAACAGGTGAAAGAGATTATGGCTGGATAAATACACTGCGGTCCTATTTTAAGTTAAGCTGTTTGTGTACCTTTTATTTCCTTCCTGCCTGCTGAGAAAAGTTAACTCTAAAGTTTTCAACTTTGGTTTGGAAGGGCTTAACTTTGGGAAACAGGAGCTTTAACCGCTTGTGTTTTGTCCCTCTCCAGGTCACTTTATATGAATGCCATTCCCAAGGAGAAATACGGCTACTGCAATCCTATGTGGATGCTGACGTATCCTTTATTACATACGTTTCTAGAATTGTTTTCAGGCAGGCATCATACTTATTTATTTTTAATTAGGCCATATCACAAGATCTGTGGATTTTTTTTAAAATTTTCTCCAGAGGGGGTGATGTAAAATGATGTTCTTTTCTGTGGGTTTTTTGGATCTTATTGCTTATTAGTCCCAACTGCATAATGACGCCGGTTTTCTTTCCCCCTTTTGTCCCCTTTTCTCATTTCTACATGACATATCGTTTCCTTTGCCTAAGCCAAGGGGTCTTCAAACTTGGCCCTTTTATGACTTGTGGACTTCAACTCCCAGAATTCCTCAGCCAGCGTGCACGCTGGCTGAGGAATTCTGGGAGTTGAAGTCCACAAGTCATAAAAGGGCCAAGTTTGAAGACCCCCTGGCCTAAGCTGTGGTTCCAAAGGGATTGACGGCATCACTGCAGTTTTCCGCTAGGATCTCTTAGGGTGATTTTGAGCCCATCACGCTCTCCGAAGCCACCTGGAAGAGCACGTCACTTCATCAGGTTCTGTAGGCTTCGGTGGTGATCAGGGCCTATAAACAATGAGAAATATGCTGTCACCTGTTCCATATTCAAGATGCTCTTTAAGGATTTTGAATGCTTTGCCAAAATATTTCTTCTACTCAGAGGAAAGCATCTACCTCAGGGGTCCTCAACCTTGGCAACTTTAAGACTTGTGGACTTCAACTCCCAGAATTCCTCAGCCAGCAAAGCTGGCTGAGGAATTCTGGAAGTTGAAGTCCACAAGTCTTAAAGTTGCCAAGGTTGAGGACCCCTAATCTACCTAGTTAAGAATATTGCTGGGGGGGAGAGGAAAGGTGAATGACATATCTTTGTGCTTTACAAATGGCCCTAACTATTTTGTGCAGTACTTCCTATGTTGCCATTTCTCCCTTAAAGTTCTTTTTGTTTGATCTCTTCTGCCTTTTTTTTTTCCGACTTATCTTAGTGCTGTTTTTTTTTTAAAGGAAAAAGTACTTGAGTCAGGAACCTGCCTGAAATGATATAGGGCAGCGATGGCGAACCTTTTAGAGACCGAGTGCCCAAACTGCAACCCAAAACCCACTTATGTATCGTCGGGTGCCGGTTGGGCGTGGCTCATTGTGTGGGTGTGGCCAATTGGGTGGGCATGGCCCGTTTGGTGGGCGTGGCTGCAGTGGTACTGGCAGACTGGGTGGGACTAAAAAGTTCAATCAATTCCAACTTTGTGAAATCTTTTTTTTTCCGGGAGAAGTTGAAATGGATTGATTGAGTGAACCTTTTTTTTTTTTTTTTGCATGGCAGGGGAGACCTAAAGCGAAAAGGTTTTATAAAACCCAGCTGAAGGCCCAGGACTGGGGCGACGGCGCGCGTGCCCACAGAGAGGGCTCTGCGTGCCACCTGTGGCACGCGTGCCACAGGTTCGCCACCACGTATATAGGGTCTCCTGCTTGAGCAGGAGCTTGGGCTGGAAGACGGAGGTCCCTTCCAACTCTGTTATTCTGTGCCGAGTTGCTGTGCTGGGCCTAATTGTGGGAGCTTAAGTCCCGCATGTCAATTTCCCAAATTAGAAAATTAATAACAATTAATATAATAGATTGGAGAATCTGATAAACCTCTTCAAAGTCCCAAGAATGGAAACACGGCTAGTAGGAACTATAGTTAAGAACAGGATAAGGACTGCAATTTAGAGAAATGGGTTTCAGAAGGATTGAAATGACACCCAGGGAACAGCTTAATAGCTGTTTTGCAATTTCTAGCAATCCTTTCACTCATTTTCCAGCCATGCAACCTCTGCCTGCCGCCTCCAGATTTTATCCATTCCCTTGACCTCATGTGAACTCCTCGGCTTTCTCTTTTAGCTCCCTGGAATAGCCGCCTCCATCTGGTGTCCTTGCCGTGAATCAATAACTATGCAGGGAATTTATGGGAATTGTTCTCCGAAACATCTGGAGAGAGAACTAAGCCAGAGAAAGCTGCTGTAGAGCTACGGGCTGTTAATACTTTAATGGCTGCTGCACATGTTGAACATAATCGTCCTTTGGCTCGCATCTAATTTTATGGCAAGTGGCAAATCATTTGTGCAAGGAATAAACTACCACTCACATACTTTTAAGCCACCGCTTTTCCCAAATGAGTGTCCTTAAGTTGCGCAAGCATTTTGCTATCCCTTGTCAGTGAAAAGTCCGCAGTTGTGTATATTGCACTTAACTATATACTTTAGGCAGATGAAAACTTTTATACTTGTGCGTGGACTTACGACAGCAATACGAGCCATCCTCTTCTGGCAGTGGCTGGCTCCCGAGGCATTATTCGAATAATTAACCCCATTACGATGCAGTGTATAAAGGTGAGATGATACCAGAGGTAAATACGAGGTTCAGATACTGTCTGGCTTCTTAGTAGAAAATACATAGGGAACCAGAGAGCTCATGCTTATTCTGCAAAAAGTTGAAGTTCGGCCTCTCCAGGAAAACCTCTGAAATAATTCTGCCTTAAACCTTGACTATTGCAACTATTGCTACGTGGGGCTGCCCTTGAAAAGCATCCAGAAGCTCCAGTTGGTGCGAAATGCAGCGGCCCGCATGGTTTTGTGCAGACCTTGATGTGTCACCTCTCCTGTGTCACCTTTCCTGTGAGAGCTGAGGGACTGTCTCGTACCGGCTACATCCACCTGACCCACTAGAGTGGGGAGGAATGTTTCAGGTCCCTTGGGGGCACCCAGAAAAAGGGCCTTCTCTGTGGTGGCTCCCTCTCTTTGGAATATCATCCCTCCAGAAATTAGACTGGCCCCCACTCTGACACTCTTTTGGAAGGCCCTAAAGACATGGTTCTGCCAGCAGGCCTGGGTAACTCAGAGCAGAATGAAGCCCATTAAATGGCTGATATATGAGTGTGTGATGTCGCCAGGGTGGGGTGGGGGTTATTTTATTATTGTATTTTTATTTCTTTTATATTTTTTTATTTCCTGGAAGCCACCTTGTGTCACCGTGAGCAAGTAGGCGGCAATATAAATTTTCCAAATAAATAAAATAAACCTTTAAAGATTAACTATAGATAGTCCTTGAGTTACGACCCTAATCATAATTTGTGATAGTCACCCCCATGACTGCCCTATTTTACGACTTTTTTTTGCAGCAGTGGTAAAGCACTGCCACAGTCATTAAATGAACCAACGGTTTGCTGTGGGCCACTTTTGCTGAAAACCGGAAATAAATGCTGGCTTTTGGCAAAATGTTTGTCAGATGCAGTCATGTGATTGTGGGACGCTGTGAACAACTGTAAATGTGGGCCTGTTGTCGAGTGCTCAATGTGGTCATGTGACAGGGGGGCTGGTCTTTGGAAATTAGTGTTAAGTACCCCCCCCATGCACTAGTTCCGTGGGATGAGTCGAGGTCGTGCGTTGCCACAAGGAAACTGATCTCTGAATTTTATTGCAGCACTATGTGGGACACGGAAATGCAATAAATGAATTGAAATTTCATCCGAGGGATCCAAATCTCCTTTTGTCTGTTAGCAAAGGTCAGTGAATAAATCAGTGGTGGGATTCAGCCAGTTCGCACCACTTCGGCAGAACCGGTAGCTAATCTTTTGTTGCCCAGGCCCAGAATGGACTTCCGGAAGCGGCATCCACGCAGAGAACCGGTTGTTCACCTATTTGAATCCCACCACTGGAATAAATTCCTTTTTAATGTTCTTTATGAGTAGTATACTGTATTAGCAGCCTATTTTCTCTTACCAACAAAAAGGGAAACAAGGATGGCTCAAGTAATGGCGATAGTGCTGAAGCTGGCAGAGGTGAGATCTGAAGATATTGGAGGCCCTCAGTGATGCATCTTTGGGGTGTGGCAGTGAATTTATTGACTTTTAAAAAACCACATGTTCTGTAAGGCTGCTCTAGTCTAGATATCGCTTATTTATATCTATCTAGGACAGCGGTTCTCAACTTATGGGTCGCGACCCCATTTGGGGTCGATCGACCATTTCACGGGGGTCGCCAAGCAAGGCTGTCCGCCATTTTTTTCCCCCTTTTCCGGCGGGTGCCTTACCTCCCTTGGGCTGGGCCAGCTGGTGGTCGGCCTGCTCTGTCTCTGCCGCTTGCCAGCTACGCCTCGGCCGGTGCAGGGGGCGGAACCATGCATGTGCGGCGCTCCCAGGCAGGGAAAGTCCTCGACTTACGACCGGTTGGGCAGTCCTCGACTTACGACCGGTTTAGTCCTCGACTTACGACCGGTTTAGTCCTCGACTTACGATCGGTTGGGGGTCGCGGCATTAAAAAGGTTGAGAACCACTGATCTAGGAAGATGTAATACATGCTGGGACATGTATTCAGCAATATCAGGATTGCTGTCAGTTGCTGTCCTTCAGGCTAGTAAAATAAGATAGGATCGAACTATAGTTTTGCACCCCGTGTGATTATAGCAAATGATAATTTTTTTTTTTCAAAGTAAAACTTGGAATTATTGAAAAGCTTGGTTTATTTTAGAGAGATAGCACATGCTTTCTTCTTGTAGCTGCACTGAAGATTTATACTAACTTTTTTTTGGGGGGGAAGTAAGCTATGGTTATTAAGGCATAAAAGACCCCCTTTCTCTTAGATGGAATCTTTTTGGCAGCGTAGATGCTTGAAATCTCATGTGAGATCTTGGCCCATTCCTTTTAATTAAGCATTTATACCTCTCTCTGGTATCTCTAGCTAACCCTTGATGTAGTTCACTATAACGTGTAGTTATAAATGAGGGATATGTTAATCGTGAGTTACATATGGATTACACAACCTAATCTGGTTTATTGGATTTTATTAGATCATGCACTCCGATTGTGGAACATTCAGACAGACACTTTGGTTGCAATATTTGGAGGGGTCGAAGGACACAGAGATGAAGTTTTAAGTGCAGTAAGTCCAACGCTATTATGTGGTTTGAGAAACCCTTTGGAAATCATTTTGACTTCGATTTTTGTACAGGCTTTATAAACTTCAGAAAACTTAAAAACAATTACAAACACCGTGATAAGGTTTATTTGGAGATGAGAGTGTTTTCTGGAGGTGTTGTCTTGCTTCGATTTGAATATTGGATGCAAAACATAAAAGCTATGACTTTGTGCGTTTTGCATACAGGATTATGACCTGCTTGGTGAGAAGATAATGTCCTGTGGCATGGACCACTCTCTAAAGCTCTGGCGAATCAATTCAAAGAGAATGATAAATGCCATCAAAGAATCCTATGAGTACAATCCCAATAAAACGAACAGGTAAGAAACAGTCCTGATCCCAGGGTTATCCTTCTCTTTTGAGTCTTAAAAAATCTCCTTACGAAAACATATATCCTCCAGTCTAAAACTGGTAAGTGCGTGGGTTTGTTGTTGTTGTTGTTAGTTGCGAAGTTGTGTCCAACCCATCGCGACCCCATGGATAACGTTCCTCCAGACCAGTGGTTCTCAACCTGTGGGTCGGGACCCCATTTGGGGTCGATCGACCATTTCATGGGGGTCGCCAAGCAAGGCTGTCCGCCATTTTTTTGTCCGCCATTTTTTTTGTCCCCCATTTTTTCCCCTTTTCCGGCGGGTGCCTTACCTCCCTTGGGCTGGGCCAGCTGGTGGTTGGCCTGCTCCGTCTCTGCCGCTTGCCAGCTACGCCTCAGTCGGCGCAGGGGGCGGAACCACGCATGCGTGGCGCTCCCGGGCAGGGAAAGTCCTCGACTTACGACCGGTTATTATTTTTTTATTATTTTAATTTAATTTCTATACCGCCCTTCTCCCGGTTGGGTAGTCCTCGACTTACGACTGGTTTAGTCCTCGACTTACGACTGGTTTAGTCCTCGACTTACGACTGGTTGGGGTCACGGCATTAAAAAGGTTGAGAACCACTGCTCCAGACCTTCCTGTCCTCTACCATCTTTTGGAGTCCCTTTAAGCTCACGCCTCCTGCTTCAGGGACTCCATCCAGCCACCTCATTCTCTGTCGTCCCCTTCTTCTCTTGCCCTCCATCTTTCCCAGCATCAGGCTCTTCTCCAGTGAGTCCTTCCTTCTCATTAGGTGGCCAAAGTCCTTGAGTTTTAACTTCAGGATCTGGTCTTCTAAAGAGCAGTCAGGGTTGATCTCCTCTAGGACTGACCGGTTTAATCGCCTTGCAGTCCAGGGGACTCGCAGGAGTCTTCTCCAGCACCACAGTTCAAAGGCCTCAATTCTTTGGCGCTCAGCCTTTTTTATGGTCCAGCTTTCACATCCATACATTGCAACTGGGAAAACCATGGCCTTGACTATACACACTTTTGTTGGCAGGGTGATATCTCTGCTTTTTAGTATGCTGTCTAGATTTACCATAGCTTTCCTCCCCAGGAGCAAGCGTCTTTTAATTTCTTGGCTGCAGTCGCCATCTTAGGTGATTTTGGAGCCCAGGAAAATAAAATCTGTCACTACCTCCATTTCTTCCCCATCTATTTGCCAGGAAAACGGGTTAATCTCAAAACTGAGAATCCATGTGGCGTAATGGTTAAGGGGCTGGATTAGGAGTAGGGACACCCAGATTCTCATCCATTTTCAGTCACAAAAGTACATTGGTTGGATCTGGACCAATCACTGCCTGCCTGTCCAACTATCTACAAGGTTGTTTTTTGGAGGGGAGGAAGGCAAACTCTGGGTTTATACTACTATCACGTGTGTAGGATTCAGACATTTGCATCTGTATTTCATTTTATTTGGTTATGTAAGACACGCTTTATAGAATGTTATAAAAATGCCCTTACTGAAACACTGAAAGGGTAAAATCAATCTCAGGATTAAAAACCAGCAAACGAATGTGTTTTTGTTTTCATCCTTTTGTTTAATCCTTAAATCAATTCCATGGCTCACGTGTGAAAGAAAATACTATTCCATAGATAAATACGCGCATATCATACTGTTGCCTTTGGGGGCAAGCCGTGTTATGCAGAGACAGAAAACGAGGAAGAAGTAATGAAAAAAATAAGGGGGAAAAAACAAAACAAAACAAAGACAATAGACTAATGGTATTTTACCAGTGCCATTCATTATGTCTCTCCGTGCCTTTTTGTCATTTCAAAGTTTCCTTTTTTTTCTGCCATGTACTTTACATTGCCTTTTGTTTTTTAAAGTCCTCAACCTCTTCCTGAGAATGACTTAAGTATTCCATTCCTAGTGCATTCATCTTACTCATATGTTTCTTCTGACATACCAATTTTCTTGGATATTCTCTAGAGTCTAGAATAGCTTCACTGAACCTGGGACATAACAGGAATTGCACCAACTTTTGCCTTGTGTTTAGACTTTACAATACGTTACAGGTAGTCCTCGACTTACGACCACAGTTGAACCCAATTTTTTTGTTGCTAAGCGAGACTGTTGAGTTTTGCCACATTTTACAATCTTTCTTGCCACAGTTGTTAAGTGAATCAGTGCAGTTGTGAAGTTAGTAACACGGTTGCTAACTGAATCTGGCTTTCCCAATGGCTTTATCAGAAGTTGGTCACATGACCCTGGGACACTGCAACTGTCATAAATATGAGTCAGTTGCCAACATCTGAATTTTGATCAGGTGATCAAATGGTTAGGATGCTGCAATTGATCAGGATGCTGCAATGGTCATAGGGGTGAAAAATGGTCATAAGTCACTTTTTTACAGTGCCATTGTAACTTCGAACAGTCACTAAATGAACTAGTTGTAAGTTGAGGACTACTTGTATATATTGTTTTTAATCAGAGACCAATAACTGTATTTAAACATACCAATAATTGTTGCATTCAGTGCAGGCCTCTTCTCCAAATCTTCCTGGTTTTTTCATGTCTCTCTTCTTTTGTCTGCAGACCATTTGTTTCTCAAAAGATTCATTTTCCTGACTTCTCTACAAGAGACATACATAGAAATTATGTAGACTGTGTGCGATGGCTGGGTGATCTGATCCTTTCCAAGGTATATCTTGCATTATTTTTTTCCCCCATTTCCATTATATATGTTTCGATATCTAGAAGACACTTAAAAATTGTTTGCTGTCTGAAGTAAATAAATTGTAGAGTATAGATCCATGCCCTATTGCTCTTTCCAAAATAAAACAGTTGTTAACATATGTTACATATTCATCTTTAGCTGCAGTTTGGGTTAGCGAGAACATTTTTGTCACCAATGTTGCTTTTTTTTTTTTTCCTTTCGATTTCTCTCTGCAGTCCTGTGAAAATGCCATTGTATGCTGGAAACCTGGCAAAATGGAAGACAACATAGATAAAATTAAGGCCAGCGAGTCTAATGTGACTATTTTAGGGCGATTTGATTATAGCCAATGTGACATTTGGTATATGAGATTCTCTATGGATTTCTGGCAAAAGGTAAAAAAATCATATAAGATTGAGCAGTAGAATAATACAGGTAGTCCTCAACTTACGACCACAATTGAGCCCCAGATTTCTGTTGCTTTCTGAAGCTTCGTTAAGTGAATTTTTGCCCCATTTTAATGACCTTTCTTGCCACAGCTGTTAAGTGAATCATTGCAGTTGTTGAGTTAACCCAGTTGTAAAGTGAATCTGGCTTCCCCATTGACTTGGCTTGTCAGAAGGTCGCAAAAGGGGATCACATGACCCCGGGAGACCACAACCGTCATAAATATGAATCAGTTGCCAAGCTGCATTTTGATCACGTGGCCGTGGGGTTGCTGCAAAGGACGTAAGTGTGAAAAATGGGTCATAATTCACTTTTTCAGTGCCATTGTAACTTTGAACGGTCACTAAATGAGCTGTTGTAAGTTGAGAACTACTTGTACAAGGAGTAACCTGGAGTTTTAATTGAATGTAAGGTATTGTGACATGTCAAACAGAAGGCCCGGGGGCCGGATGCGGCCCGCGAAGTGGTTTCATGTGGCCTGTGAAGCCATCCTGCAAACAGTGAGGGAACGGCCCCCGCTGCCTTGGCCCTGGCCCAGGCCAGCCAGGAGCCAATGTACAATTTTGTGGTGGCCATCTATGCTGAAACACATTCAGTCTTAGCTCCATAAGCCTCCCCCCCCCCATGGCCTGAGAGAAACAGTGAGGCTCCTCCAGTGGACCATGCCTTGGTATTTGCCCCGGTCCCACCCCCTTCTGCCAGAGACCCTCAGATCTGTCCCACTCCTGCCCAGGCCCCCACAGGCACCCTTGACGCGAACGATGTAGAGCTGGCCACACCCACCCAGTAGGCCACACCCACTCCATCCACACCCACCCAGTAGGCTGAACCCACCCTGGCCACACCCACCCGGCCCCCTGAGGACAACCACAATGCTGATGTGGCCCTCAATGAAATTGAGTTTGACACCCCTGGCTCGAGTGTATGAAGGCTTCACAGGTAAGGATACATCTTAGATCCTACCTAGTGGCGATGAGGGAGGCTAGGACTAACTACTATGCCTCACTCATTGCGTCATCAGATAATCGCCCGGCCGCCCTCTTCAGGGTGACCCGCTCTCTCCTTCAATTGAGGGGGGGGGACCCCCTGGAGGGGAGGGCCGAGGATTTTGCGCAGTATCTGCATGACAAAGTCGCC